GGTCACCTCCGGGGCAGGCGGGAATTGAACTCATGCGGAAGCGGCTTTAGATTTTCAGTGCTGTGCTTTACCCTGCTTCGCCACCAGGGAGGGCCCTCTTTTTTGTACATTTAAACTTAATACTAGTTTACTTTTCCAACAACACTATGTTTTCCACAGACTGGTGAACTGAGAATGCGTTGTATATGTTTTCACTTTTGCACATTTAATAAGTCAGATTTAGTGTCACTGTGCCATTTTAATTTACTTTTCTCTAATTACAAGTGAATATGAGTATTTTTATACATTATAATGTCTCTTTTTGTATGTGAATGCCATTTTCCCATTTTTTCCCAACAGATTTATTGCTTTCCCCCCCTACCTACAATTATTAAAAGTTCTGTGATTGTGGGTGTATGTATTAGGTTTATAGAGTGACTTTTCTGGTGTCATATGTTGCAGTTACTTTTTCATTGTCAAGTGCTTTGACTTTACTTTTGCCCTGCTAAAATTTATATACATGTATTTGAACTAACAATTTTTTTCACTTATTGTTAAAGAGAAACGTAGCCACCTTTGTTTTTCTTCCAACATGCATGAGGTTATTTATTTAACTTAAGGTTCCCAACACACTTAGAGTTTTTCTTAAGTTTTGAGTGAGATTTGGATCTACAGTATCTCTTGCTAAGTAGAAATTAGTAATAAATAATATAGTCAGATTTCTCAATTTGTTCCCTCATGATATATTTGTATCTGTGTAGATGGCCAGTTATCCTAGCACTATTTTACTAGAATGATTGTTCTTTCTCCAACTTGCTGTAATGTTACTTTTGTTGGAAGTCAAGTGTCTTGTGTGTAGATCTTTTTCTAGGTTCTCTCAGGCCTACTGGCCTGTCCTTGTTGACAGTAACACATTTTTTTTGTTGAAGCTTTTATAAGTATTGCTGAAGCTTTTATAAATATTCTTAATATCTGATGGAATCAATCTTTTTTGTTGTTTAGGAAATTTTTATATTCTTACTGCTTTGTTCTTCCATATATAATTTCCGATGAATTTAGCAGGTTCTTAGACAAAGTCTTACAAGACTATTGACGTTACTTTGAATATGTAGAACAGGAAATTTTATGTGGTAACAACATTGAATTTTCCTACACGTGAATCTGGTATAGTTAGGGCTTTTCTTCTTCCTTCCTTGCCCAAACGTTCTCTTTGGCAACCAGTGTGTAAAGCATTTAGTTAAAAGCCGCTATTTTAGAAATTGTTGACATTTGTATAAGGATTATGTTAATGTCCATATAACTTAAGGGCAAAACAATTAGCTGATACTAAATAAGTCAAGGTTTCTATTTTAACACATACATATAGATGCTTCTATCGGTGCTAAATTAATGCCTTACTCTGGGGAATTAAAACGAGTGATTGCTATGTTATATACAAGTATACTGTCATGATAAAATAGTGCCTGTTATTTGAAAATAATTACACATTTATCTTGTTAGAATAATTTTTGAAAAGTAAAAACATTTTAAGAAATGTCCTGTTTTTTAGAAGTGGAAATTTGCGTGGTCAAAGTGGTAGTTATTATAAACACAACAGAACTTTACATTACGATAACATTAAATCCACTGAAATGATGGTGGTAAAACGTGTTAAAGAATAGTAGGTACATGAATGAGAAAAAAACAGTAAAGAAGTAAAGTTTACATACATACATACATACATACACACAATTACATATATATACATATATATGCAATGTAAATAGTGTATTTAAGAAATTCTTGCTTAGGAAAAGATATTTATTAAATAAGTGGATGGAGGAAGGGGGACACATGATGTAGTGTATATTGGCAAGCTTCCTGAAATGCATATGCAGGATAATTAGAGGCATACTGAATTTTAAATGTCAGCCAGTTTTTATTCTCTTTTGATAACATCTATTTGTATCAACAGTGACTATTCTTACTTCAAAATGGAGTTTATCAAGCTTTTTGAACATTTGTTATAAAGGAAATGACTTATCAGTATACATATCTAACATTAAATTTTTGATACTAGCAATGACTTGTGAGAGATTTAAAGTTTTTTTGGTTGGTTGGATTTGTTTTTTTACATATCAAATGATGACTAAGAAATTTCTCCATTTCACAGTTGAGATTTGAGACTTTTCCTATCCTTTTTTTTTTTGCATTCAATTGACAAGTGCCTTTATTCTTGTGTATTACCTTCAGCAATATCCTACAATGCCTTACTACTTTATTACAACATAAGCAGCTTTTTGCTAAACTGGCTTAATTCAGGATTTTGTTCAGCAGTGATTAACATTCTTTTTATTGGCTTTAAGTACCTCATAGACCTTTAAAGGATGTAGGGCTGGTGGATATTCAGGAGACTGAATATCTACCTTTTTTCTTAAAATCTTAGCTGTCTTGAGAATAGGCTTTCTTAGTCTTACTTCACAGAATCAGTGAATCTCCCACAGAACCAAACTATCTCCCAGCTGTTACCCTGTTGATGATAAGATACTAGAGACTATTAGAGATATCCTACTTTCAGAGAAGTTAACTTATGAATAAATGAATTCTAGAATATTGAAGTAGGGTCTTTGACTCACTGAATTTAAAAGATATGGTTTGATAATCATGGTTATTTTGCTGTTCTTGTATTCTAATTTTTCATGATTATACCATAATGATACACTGAGAATCTTGTTTGATTGATTTACAGTTTAGTTTCCTTTACTTTAGATATTATTCAATAAATTCTCAGATTGATGCAATAGAATTTACAGCCATCCTAGAAATAGTTAATTATAATTGTTTACCTGCCCTAAAATTCTATTAACCTTCATTACCCAGACTCTGAGGATATATAGGTTGTCCTATTGGCTTTATATAAGGAGTATAGACAAATTCTTTTTTGTGCTCTTTATGTATGACCATGCTAAGACTGGAGTTGCATCAATTAACTGTACGTTAGGAAGAGATTTATGATTAAAACAAGAGATAAACAGGAATATTTAATTATGCCATTTGTTTTCCATTACTATGTACGCTGCAAGCACATTTCTAATGAGTGGTATTTCTTAATTTGCAATGTTTTAAGACAGTCAAGAATGATGTAGACCTCTTTCAGGTCAGAATAGGGAGGGCTGATGTAGGGAAAGTAACCATTGTTTATTTCTGTCTTATCTATCATTTGATTTTTGTTTTTGTATGCATTTATTATTTTTCTAAGAAATAAGTACATTAAAAAAATAATCACTCCATACCACTAGCAAACTATAGTATATGGTATTTGATGTCCTTCCTGGTCTGCTCCAGATTTCCTTGGGATTTTCATCTCCAACCAAATAATCTTACTCTGGTCATACTTGTCTATCCTTTGTCTCAAATCTTTTGTATTCTTAGGACTTTTTAGATTTCTTCCTTTATCTTACACACCTTTTAAGATGTTACTGAAATCCCACCTGTTCTGACTTTGCTGGTTCCCTCCTTGCTACCCCTTTTCTAATGGTGAGTTATTCTATAATAGCTCTCATCAGAGGTTCTTTTATTGGCAGGATTGTTTTAAGTGTAAGAATTTTTTCCTTGCCTATTAGTGCAAAAGACAAGAGTAATTGCACAGATATTTTTCCAGTGTCATTATGTGAAAATTGATAATTATACAACTTTTTATTTATAAAAGAACATTTTATAAACAGTGCTTTTCTCTCCCTTCTTTGGTAGGTTACTTCCGCAGAATGTTGGCCTTCTCTACGTTGGAGGTTATGAAAGGCCCTTTGCACAAATCAAGGTATGATTGTTCATTTCCCATTATACTTTTCCTAGATATAGTTCACTTGTCCACCAAAAAAAGCCTGTGAACAAAATCAAATATGTCAAAACATATAAAAGATATAATGAATGTGAATTATTAATTTCATTTGATTTTGCATATTTCTACTAGAGAAATAATTCAGTTTTTCAAAGAATGAATTATATTCATTTTGTCCATAGTAAAGCTCACTTTGACCAAAGCATATTTTGTGATTAGTTAAGAAGGGTATAGCTTCGAGCCACATTTATGCTATAGTTTTACCTGTTTTGCCATTAAAAATTTTGAGAGTGTTGTTTGGGTATATGTGATGTACAGTAACCTGTACATATTTAAAATATGCAGTTTGGTAAATATTGTTTATATTTGTGAAACCATCACCACAATCAAACTCATAAGTGTGTTTGTTTCAAAAGTGTTCTTTGAAAATTAGCCCCTCCTTTTTTTCCTTTATACCTCCAGGCAACCACTTCTCTGATTTTATGATTTGTTTCATTATTGATTAATTTTCATTTGTTAGAATTTTATATAAAAGGCAGCTTACAGTCTCCCCATACTCTGCTTCTCTACAGTTTCTCCTCTATCTCAGCATTAGCATTTTGAGATTCATCCATTTTGCTGTACATACCAGTGTTATATTTCTGGACTCTGTTCTGCTTTGTTCATCTGTGTGCCTAGCCTTCTATGTATATCAGAGTAACCTTGATTATTGTAACTTTATAAGAAGCCATGAGTCAGGTTGTATAAGTTTTCCAACTTTTTAATTTTATTTTTTCAAACTTTTTTGGGCTAACCTAGGTTTTTTAAATTTCCAAATGAAATTGAATCATTTTATCAATTTCTATAAATTGGCCTGCTGTAATTTTGTTTTGGATCATATTGACTCTATAAATCAATGTGAGGAGAAATGACATCTTAACAATCTTTGTGGTTAGAGTCTTTCTAATCACAAGACACATATTTCTCCATTTATTTAGATCTTTTATGTCCCCCAGCAATATTTTGTTGTTTCAGTGTATTGGTCTTGCATATTTTAAAATAAATCCATGATACAGTTTAATACTATTATAGCTGTTCATTGCTAGTATATAGAAATAGACACATATTCAGTACCTGCTCATTGGTAGTATATAGAAACATACCCATATATAGTTTTTTGTGTTTACTTAAAATCATCTAATTTTGATATATTCAATTATTTTAGTTGCTTTAAAAAGTAAGCTTCTTAGGATTTCTTTTCACATCCATGCTTATGAGGTCTATTCATAAAGACATAAAACATACAAAAGAGTCTTTTGTATGTTTTAGTACAGTGGTTATAACTTTCAGACCAGTATTAAATAGAAATGATGAGAACAGTCATCCTTGATCTTGTTTAGTTGGTTGGTCAAAAATTGGGCTCTCCCTGGTGGTGCAGAGGGTTAAAACACCGCATTATGGAGCTCTCTGAAGCCACTGCAGCACGAGTTCAGTCATCCGTCAGGGAGCTGACACACATGGCGTGGCAGACCTCTCCTGACCTGGCCACTGCTCCCCTCAGCAGTGTATTTTTATAAACTGCTTGTTCTGCCCCCCACTCTGTCTCTGGTGAATATTCTCACCTATCACACCTCTGGCCTGTATCCCAGTTCTGTAAGAATAAATAAATAAATCTTAAAATAAAAATTGTTTCCATAGTAATATTGGTTATGGGTTGAATCCTGGATTCCAACTAGGCTTTCCTGTAAGTAGAATAATGTGAATATTCAAGGCAGTAGTAAAAAAGCAGCGTTGAAATAATCTCTTTTCTTTGTTTTTATAATTTTTGTTGATGTTTTTTGACAGATCTATAAAGATTGTTTTTGCATTTTTGATTTAACTTTGTGATTTTTCTTTTGTTTGTTGACACTGATTTATTGTTCTCCTGTTCATTTAAAGGGTGTGTATTTAAATTCTTTCCACTTGTACTTATGATATTTTTGTACTTTAATAAATAAGGATTTTTTGAGAATGAAGTAAATTGAATATGACATATAAGCTATTTAATATTGAGGAGGTTCAGCTACATTATTGACAGTTTTAAATAAAAAAATTATGTTAGCAACCATAGCATTATTATCTCTTCAAATAACTCCTTTAATTTAACTTAAAACAGTCCAAAAAGTCCACCTATTGGATCTTACATTGTAGACCCTTTTGAACTTTTCTGTCACCTTTTATATTAATGATAAACATTCAGATACATTTTTTTCATCTTCCTTTTTTAATATCCCTGGAATGTGAGTGGGGTTGGCAGGAGTCCCTTCATAAACATTCCCCACTATTATGTTTACTGAATTCAACTCTCTAGCTAGGAATCCTAATAATTTTCTGCAGGAATATTTTTGAAAGCTCAATATTTTTCTGTCTAGTGGTTTGGGAAATCCTGTTTTGTTTTATTATAACTAACTAAAAGAGAGCTGCATGTGTTATACGAAGAGTAGAATTTGATTGTATGTGTGTGTTGCTTGTTGCCTCAAAAACATGCTCTTAAGAATATGTATGTGCATAATTCTCAATTTCTCACCTGATTCATTAATGTAACATTTCCTTTATCCCTGTCTTTCCTAACAAGCCCAGTAGTAGTCATTCCTTTGTCAGCTTATCATTCCTGGATAATCAGCTCTGTAGGAAAAAGTTATTATTTAGGGTATGTTTCTCCTTTGATGTTACTGTGAGAAATTTTTCTTTCACACACTGTGAAAAAATTTCTTATCCTGATTGATTATTGAGGTCATTTCAAAATTGCTGTGGTTTTTTTGGGAAAATCTTAGGCAAATATCCTGACCTAATTAGAATACTTATAAGTTAATTGTAGAACAATAAAAAATATCATAACTTAAATGCTTAAGATTCGATTAGAAATTTAAGTTTACTTTCCTTGCCTTGCACCTGACTGCTCATGGACATGAAATATCAGTGTCTATTATGTTCATTTTTCCCTGTTAAGCTGAATGTTATGATACTGTGCTGTGCAGCACAAGTACCAGATATAACCTTTAATAAGTGAAACTTCTTTTCTTAAGACCATATTGGTGTTGAGTTTTTAAAAATAAATCAAGAACGGAAATTGTTCACTTGTTATTTTAGAAAATATCAGAACTACAGTGAGTGGCTTGGTATTAGGGGCTCTTTGTTAAAGAGATATTTTACGAATGTATTTCTAAAAAGGAATTCCATTTTACCAAGATTAGAGTGAGAGAAAGAAAAACAAAAGGGTCTAAGAGTGAGCAATCCCTGCACCGTAAGGTGCACAGAATAAAGTGGGGATTCAGCAGATCCCAAACTTGTAGTTTTTATCTGAATTGAGTCCTGTCTGGCAAGGCAGAGACAAGAACCACTGCTACTAAAAGTGTGCAATCCCTGCACCACTGCAGAAAGCTAGGGACCCTGCCATTGCTCTGGAATGGAGGAAATACAAAGCTAGGCAACTAACAGAGACAGTGCCCATCAACATATCCACAACACCACCACCCTTGTGGAGTTTGGTGCAGTAGTGCTGGACACAGTCTGATTATCAGTTATTGACAACCCATAAAGGGCACCCTCAATGATGTACCTGCCAATACCAGCAGTACAGTGTCGCAATGTATAGAACACATTAGAAAACAAACAGGGAGAAGACAGAATGCAAGCAACCAAGGACACATCATAAAAAGGAAACCAGCCACTAGAGCTCCCACTCCAAAGACTATTACAAGAAGTCCTAAAGCCAAAACCAACAGAGAAAAGAATAAGAAGAATGGAACAAGACAAGGAATAAAATCACAAACAGGCAAGCAAAATGGGAAATACAGCATTAATCTTAGCTCTAAATATAAATGGACTAAACTCATCAATAAAAAGACACAGAGTAGCAGGCTGGATTAACAGAACCTGTAAGAACTCCTCAGTCTAACAGAGACTTTAAAATTGCCATGATTAAAAACTAAAAGACAACAGAAAGGAAAAGAATGATATGAGAAAAATAATTAATGATCAAAAGAATTAAATTGAGTCCTTGAAAAGGAAATGAAAGAAATGCAGGAAATTAACAGATTAATGGAGGAGCTAAAGAACTCTGGAAAAAGCAACGAAAAGAGAGTAGATGAAATGAAAGAATATACAAGTACCCTTGAAGATGCAGAAATAAAAGGACCAAACAGAAAAGGGAAAAGGAGTACAAAGGGAAAAAAATGAAGGAAAACTTTACTATCTGACTCCATGAGGAAAGGAAATATAAGAGATATAGGTATTGTAGAAGGAGAGGAGAGAGACATAGGAACAAAGGAAATATTCAAGGAGATAATCAAAGAGACTTCCCAAACATGAAGAAAGAGATGAAAATAGACATACAAGAAGCAAGAAGAATACCAAACGTCCACAATGAAAGGGAAAATACAGCAAGACACATAATAGGAAAGCTTTCAAGAATCCAAGACAAGGAAAAAATAATGACGACGCTGACGAGAGGGAGGAAACAGATGACATATAAAGGAAAACCAGTCAGGCTGACATCAGACTTCTCCAAAGAAACACTATGGGCAAGAAGAAAGTGGAGGGACATATTTAACAAAGGCCAACAAAGGTTATTTTATCCTGCATAGCTTTCCTTCCTTTATGAAGAAAGGATAAGGACCTTCTCAGGCAAACAGAAACTCCAGAACTTCATTACAACTAAGCCCCCACTCCAAAGAATATTACAAGTCCTAAAGCCAAAACCAACAGAGGGATGAATAAGAAGAATGAAACAAGACAAAGAATAAAATCACAAAAATACAAGCAAAATGGAAAATATGTATCAATATTAACCCTAAATGTAAATGAACAAAAATCATCAATAAAAAGACACAGAATTGCCAACTGGATTAAGAAACAGAATCTAACCTTTTGCTGTCTCCAGGGAACACATTTAACTATAAAAGATAAAACTTGACTGAAAGTAAAGGATGGAAAACAACCCTTCAAGCAAATGGAACAAA